CGTTCACCATGCCTTAACTTAATCGCAATGGGTTGTGTGTGTATTGATTGTAATTCTGTAAGGGAAATAGGCGGCTATGCCCTCGCCTCCAATGTTTTATTCAACCATGCCCTCTTTATAGAAACACATGCGATATACATGCAGTAACCCTTCAGTAAACATTCAGTAAACCGTCAATAAACCTCAATAAAACTTCAATAAACATTTCCCATCTGCAATGCTATAAAAACTTCCTATTGGTTCCGTACCGCCCATCGGGTTTGAATCCCTCTTTCCTTTATAATCGGTTAATAAATTCGTTGATTTTCTTTATTTTATTGGTCTTGGGCAGCTCAGTAGCATAAAAGTAATGTATATTGGTGCATCTATATTGCTTGTCTATTGCGTCTATATTGCTTGTCTATTGCGTGCATAGCGTACATTTATTGCGTGTGTATTGATTGTTTATTGCTTACGAAGGAAATAAACAACAATACACAGGCAACAGACAAGCAATATACACGCAATACACATGCAATCTATACGCAATAGACATGCAATATACATCAGTCCCTAATTTCACCATCCATAAGGGAGTCGTATCGATTAGGAAATTCTACTGAATAGTTGTTCTTCCTACTAATAAACAATCAATAAACCTTCAATAAACATTCAATATCGGACAATAACATGCGAAATACATGCAGTACACAATCAATAAACCTTCAATAAACATCCAATATTCGATAAATAACATGCGATACACATGCAGTAAACAATCAATAAACCTTCAATAAATATCCAATATCCGATAAATAACATGCGATACACATGCAGTAAACAATCAATAAACCTTCAATAAACATCCAATATCCGATAAATAACATGCGATACACATGCAGTAAACAATCAATAAACCTTCAATAAACATCCAATATCCGATAAATAACATGCGATACACATGCAGTAAACAATCAATAAACCTTCAATAAACATCCAATATCCGATAAATAACATGCGATACACATGCCTCAGTAGCATAAAAGTAATGTATATTGGTGCATCTATATTGCTTGTCTATTGCGTCTATATTGCTTGTCTATTGCGTGCATAGCGTACATTTATTGCGTGTGTATTGATTGTTTATTGCTTACGAAGGAAATAAACAACAATACACAGGCAACAGACAAGCAATATACACGCAATACACATGCAATCTATACGCAATAGACATGCAATATACATCAGTCCCTAATTTCACCATCCATAAGGGAGTCGTATCGATTAGGAAATTCTACTGAATAGTTGTTCTTCCTACTAATAAACAATCAATAAACCTTCAATAAACATTCAATATCGGACACTAACATGCGAAATACATGCAGTAAATAATCAATAAACCTTCAATAAACATCCAATATCCGCGCTATAACATGCGATATACATGTAGTAAACAATCAATAAGCCTTTAGTATACGCCAATAAACAATCTACCTATTTCAAGAACAATAATTTAAACTCAATGCCAATCCACCTATTTCAAGAACAAATATTACAAAATGGGTTTGAAAACTCATTGGTGGTGCGTGCAACATGTCTTTTTGGGGAGAACTTTTACAATCCTTGAAACTGTGCACTTAATTGGTCATTAAAAGAACAAATAATATTAAAATTGATAAAAGTAATAAAACTAATACCAAGTCCTTAATGGACTTCAGCATATTCAGCACCGTAGCATCATACGTGTCATCTGGCTGTTCTGCTTGAGCGGAAGTTACATCAACCCATTCAAATCCATTGCAACTGGTGGCTCCCTAATTGCAGGCATCATATATGCAAAATAATTGTGTCAGAGTTAGACCAAGGTTTTTTTCACCCACATACATATTCTGGAAATGAAAACTTACATAGGAGGTTAGGCACTTCCAAAATGGCTTCCCTCGATTTTTCTCTGATTTTGAAACCCGAAGCACTATTGCAGCTCCACAGTACGGACACCTCTTTGTTTGAGCGGGAGATGAAGATGAAGACATGTTGAATCTTCTCAGTTGTACCTTTTCTCACTCAGATCTTCTCACTGAAACCTCTTCGGACTCATACCTTCTCACTCAGATCTTTTCACTCAAACCTCTTCGGACTCAGAGCTCTCTCATCTCTGCCTAAATGTGATTATATCCTCTTTTCTGTTCGTGGGTGGGTTGGGCATGCTTTCGACACATGTACCGTCAGATATGGGGCACCATTTACCCCATAAACCAATATAATATTTAACTACCAAAACCCAATATGAAAATTAAGGGAAAACTGCCCTAAACCCTATATTATTTTCATTATATTTCATTAAACCAACTAGTTGGATAAACATTCATCACATTTTAATAACATTACTACTATATGTCGGTGTGGGAAAATGAAAAGTTATGTGATGGGACGTTCTGTGACTAGTCAGTAATCCGTCACATTTGTTTTATTGACCTCTTCGGACTCAGAGCTCTCTCATCTCTGCCCAAATGCGATTATATCCTCTTTTCTGTCTGTGGGTGGGTTGGGCATGCTTTCGACACATGTACCGTCAGATATGGGGCACCGTTTACCCCATAAACCAATATAATATTTAACTACCAAAACCCAATATGAAAATGGAGGGAAAACTGCCCTAAACCTTATATTATTTTCATTATATTTCATTAAACCAACTAGTTGGATAAACATCCATCACATTTTAATAACATTACTACTATATTTCGGTGTGGGAAAATGAAAAGTTATGTGATGGGACGTTCTGTGACTAGTCAGTAATCCGTCATATTTGTTTCATTGACATAAAAAGGGCGGGAAAATCCTAAAAATGGCTATGCATATAGGTTTTTAATTTACTTTTTGACTGTCTGACTTTGCATTTCGATGACATTTTCCTTCTCTTTTGTTTTTCTCTAGTTTTAGGGTGTTGGTTCAGTTTCTTTAAAAAGGGTCAAGTGAGAAAAACCTCAAGTGGAAACACATTTTCCAAACGGTACAACAAACACACCCTATAACAGAACCAAAACCCCATCTATTCTCATTTCTCCCCTCTTCCACTCCTCAAATCGTTCCATTTCAAAAAAATAGAAACACATGAATTCCAAATATTTCACTACAGTCGGAGGAAAGAGAAGGAAGCATATCCATTTAGGGATGCCCCAAGCCTTCATCCCGGAGTTGGCTTGGTTTAAAGTGATGTTATACGTGGCAACCCAATCTTCGGAAGATCTCTTCCGTATGGCATCTGTGTGCCCATTATTCCGGACGTTGGCAAACACTCCACAAGTGTGGAACATCATTTCAATGGCTAAGTACCCAGACCATCCTAGCTGGTACCATGCTAATCCTGCGGTCCAGCTTTTCTTGCAACAATGCAGAGCTTGCGAGAACCCTGAGTCGATATTTAGAGAGGCGTTCGAAGTGTTTTTCATGCAGGGTAACGTGGAAGCGTTGTATGGGATGCGCATCGCAGCAACGGCAGGCCATATGGAAGCGGCATATATAGTTGGACTTCTTGGCATGTCTGGAATTGGTCAGTCAAAAGAGGACGCATTAGAATTTTTGTGTTCTTTGAATCAACGTAACAACATTGATATGAAAGGAACCAGGGATGCTTTGAGACGAAGATTAAGCCGAGTTTGGAATGTTGCATGACATATCGTAGATATGTTTTACTATGGGAAGATTAAGTTCAATCATTGCAGCGCTTGTAACAATAACGAATTGTGTTTTGTTATTGAAGGCTGGCCTACTGAAGCAAAGATAAATCCTTCGTTCTGGACTTGTTGCAATCGATGCAAATGGCACCGTGAGAGTGTTTTTTGGTTCAAGGTCATGCGTGTGTATGTTGTGCCAGGGAATCCATACCCTTATAATTAGTTGTAGTATGTTTTTAAGGTTTTTATGCTTTCTTGACTTGCTTCTCTTCAGTTCTACGTTGGCTGGGTACGTTGGCCAAATGTTGGGTTTTAATGTATTTTGTCTGGTGTTTGTGCAGTCATAAACCGTTTTATATATAAATCTACGTATATATATTTGTATACTTGAATGCTTACTGACATCAGAGATGGGTAATATGACATCTTACTGACATAGATATTTTGCCCAACTACAATCTTAATATTTGGTAAACGAAAAGGCGTGCATGGAGTGAGCTGTCTGTTCACCAGTGCTTGGAAAAGACATTTTCCCACTTATCATATCCTAAACTAATTTTTTTCTGATGCCATACAATGGTTGACATGTATTTTTTTCATTTACTTTTTCAAAACATCCCTTAACCCTAATAAAAATTAGAAGTTAAGAAATTGAAGAAGAGAGAAACTAATTGGCACCTGAAATGGTCTTTTCGCATAACAAAATTACAAAAAAAAAAAAATTTAGGGTCAATAAAATTAATAAATATAGAAGGTAAAAATCATATAATAATAATTTAGGGTAAAGAACAATATCATAATAATTTAGCGTCACCACGAAACGGGGAATTCAGTAAGAAAGATGAAGCCTTAATGAATTCGTAGCAATTTTCGGAAGTTTTTTTTTATATCATTTTTGTGTATTTAGTTATGAATTTTGTAAGGCAAAACAATAAAATAAGAATTTAGGGTAAAAAGCAAGAATGTTTGGTTGCAACTGACGTACACTTGTGCAAGTGGTGAAAGGTATGCACTGAGATCGCGCCATGTGTCCACTTGCGATTATTTGAGGTTTTTTAGTGCAAACAACTTGAACAAATTGTAATAAATAGTCGGAAAATCGTAAAAATGCCCCGAAAATTACTCCGGCC